TATACATTTTTTTATTGTAAATAATTGGTTAATAACTAACAATGTATTTCAGTATTTTATTTTATTTAAATAGGTACCATTAATTATATATATATATATATATATATTTTTTTTTTTTACTATTAATTTTTTTGACATAGGTAAAATATAAAATGTTTAAACAAAAATACTTACATTTTATTTTATAATTTTCAATATTAAATATTGTTGATTGTATTTTTTTAATTGATTTTTATATTAAGACATTAGGTACCTATATATTTTATTTTTTTAAATAAATAGTCTTAATATTTTATATTATGTAACCTCTTTATTAAAAAACAAGTTAACAATATTAGTATTTTATATCAGTTAAATATACAATTTTAAACAGATTTTCTTTTATTGTTTGAAGCCTGAAGGAAAAATCTTTTAGTTTTATCTTATTCCCAATTAAATTAAATTTATTTTTTCATAATTAAAATACTTACTTGAACATCAGACATTTGGATCTAGTGTGACTTAGCAAGATGGGGTTTTAAATTTGTGACACTTGTCTTAAATGAGTATTTGCGTTTACAAATATCACACTTAGCAAAATGAGTGTCATCAATTACAGTAAAGTGTGACCAAATACTACTTTTTTTTTTATTTAGACTCATTTTTGTATAGTAAAAAATACAATTAATAAACTAACACTTCACTGTTCACTACAGTTCAGAAGGAAATAGGAATCAGGAATGAGACATGAGTTTTGGATTTAGTTACAACTTAATAAAAACAAAATGTTTGGTTTCGTGTTCGTACATGTTTTAATTTGGATATTATGTGTTTTACATCATTTAGTATAATTTATATTTTTAAATATTTATAGTTTAAACTACAGTGCTTTTGGTATAATTAGATGTATTTTTTTTTTTAGATTGGTTTTTCGAATAGTGAATTACAAGCAATGATTGGGTACTCTGGTAATGCTATATTAATTTGACTTTGGTCCTCATCTTGATGAAATTCTTCATATTTCATCATTAGCATGTTCCATTATTTCGCAGGTCAAATATGTAAAATTAAAAATACACAATATGATTTGATCAACATTGAACATTTAYAGTTATTAGTTGATAATTATTTTAATGGTTAAATGAGTCATTAATTATTTTAATTACATTATTTTAACTAAATAAAAATAGTAAAACTATCAAAGCCTAATGTTTATCCCGATTCGTAGATAGGATAACGTGATATCGCCGCTGTTAAATTGCTAAAAACTAATATTGTTATTTAGGTGTTAATAGTAGCAGTGCTGCTATTAGCAACCCACGTCCCACGTTAAAATTATCACCAACCGCCACCACGGGATACGACCGCGCGACAGTCGACTCTCCCGCCACGCCTCAACGGCACAAGGCGGGACGGGAAGCAAAGTCGCGCCGGACGCGTACCGACCACCGCCGGCCTTCTCTCTCGATCATCGACCTCCGTGCGACACATGCCGACCCGTACAACGTAAAACCACGACTGCCGATCAGCTGGTCGTTACACTTATTTTAACATTATACGCGTTACTCGTATGTTAGTTGTTGTTTTGACCATTAAAATATACGCAAAACGCAGTGAATCAACTATTCAACGGTTTGTTATTTTACACCACCACATTAAAATCAGCGACCGACTTTCTGCGGACCATCACCAACTTCGTCACCGCCGATGGCGTCTCATGGAGCCATTCGCTTTCAGTGCTTGCACTCTGTTGGCCGGGGGCAAACGCATTTATTTTAGAATCCATAATAAATAATAATATAACAAAGTCCCACAAAACAATACTTTTTAGAAAGAAAAAATAATAACATATTTTGTAGGTATACGTTCTTGGCTTAATGGCACGTGACAATAATTATGAAATCATTATCTAGGTATATGATTTTTAATAAACATGCAAATGACAAATGTACCTACAATTAATACAATATCCTGACCGTTTAATGTAATTATTAGTTCGTAATATTTAGCCTATATTGCTTTGTTTGGCACTACAGATATTTAATAACCTCCTATGTATTTCTCACGGGCCACGTTCAAATCCAAAATTGAACTTTATTCATATATGTTACATAATGCATACCATGTAAGAAAAGGCACTATTAACTATTTAAATAACTAAGACTAAAAAAAAAATGTTTGTTTCAAAATAAAAATTATAGAATTATTAGAAAATTATTTTATCGTGAATTGAGCAAACCCRTGCACTTAATAAAATTATATGCTACAAAGTCAAATTAAAATGTTTCAGCCGTATGAACTATTAACTTATTAGAACAAATTAGGTCAGGATTGGTAGGTATACTCTGGAATTCTTAAAATAACATTGTTAAATCATTGATTGTTACATAATTAATTATTAATTTAATTGATTAATATTTACGTAATACTCCTCGCGTATAAACAGTGTACCTATAATACCTGCAACATATAACATAGGTAAGTGACAAGTGTATCTATGGTTTATTTGGTGACCCATTCACCATTG